TTGAACAAATAATCAGTTTTTTGACAGATCAGGTCTTCACTTAGAAAAAGCCACTGCCACACATTTCCAAACTGATTTTAAAATATCTTTATTGAAACATGATCCAGAAAAAATACATCTTTATGGTTCCTGCAGATAGCAAACACGGTGTGAGCACTTCAGGCAGGATGTCAGAGCACAGAGGAGTGAAGCCACACACGAGAAATAAAACAAGTCAAACCATTTGGCACATGGACGCACACAGCAACACGGCAGGCTAACAGCTCTGAACCCAAAGCTAATGCCTCCAGAAACTTCTCCATCTCACTCGTCCATAAATACTGAGCAGCAACATGTTCGTCTTAACGTTTTCTCTTAGACCAGGACCCTAACCCTACGGTCCACGTTACAAGGATTATCCAGAGATACCCAAACGTAAAAATTATGAAAATATATTTTCATTTTCATATTTTCTGAATCTGAAATATTGGGGCAGAAAATGAGAACGATGGTTAACCATCCACCTAACAGTAACCTTAAGTCTGTTAGCTTATCTTAGCTTAGCTTAGCATAAGGGTTAAAAGCGAAGGTCAAACAGGTAGCCTGGATTTGACCAATGGCTGAAAGGAAAAACTAACAGAAAAACTAATCTTTTTACCATATCTTACAAGAAAAAAGAATACATTTTCAAGTTGTGTTTTTTTGGGCGGATACATGACGGACTATTTCTTCGCTGGAGGTCGTGACTTTGTGAAGTCTCGTTTTACCTCTGAGATTTAATAACTTTCTAAGGAGCCCTTTGAGTACTCTATTGGGATTCCAATGTCCATATAATATCAAAATATTATGTACCAAATATGAATGTAAAATATCGGGGTCGAAGGAAACGTTCCACAAATGGAGGCTGCTGTTTTCAGAGAAGAATTTCAAAATATAACTCAGTGGACTCCTTCTTTAAGGCAGGATCCAAAGAAAGTAGTGGAGCAAACAAATGACTTAAGGCAGATTTAATTTGGTGCAAACGACATAGCAGTGTGTCAAAACGTTCGTATAGTATGTTGCTAACGGCAGTCTAACAGACAGGTTAGTAGGCAGTATACAGTATGTGGTTTTGGACACAGTCAGTTTTATTTAATGGAGTGCGGTACAATAGAAAATATGTTAGTTTCATAGAATGTATTATTAGCTTGGAGGTGGTTGCATTCTCATGTTAGCTGACATGATTCAGCTGTTATTGGATTGTCAACATCGCTTTAGACTTACCATCCATTGCCTTTTTAGTCGTGTTAAGATCTCAAAGCAATAACATTTGTAAGATACCCTGCATTTAATAATTAGCAAACCTGGATCACAGAAGTAGTTTAATGTCGCAGAAATATGGACGCCATGTAGAACTGTTACCTTGTCTTTTTGTATACAGTTAGTTTTGAGAGTCCTGGCATACAGGACATAAACACAGCAGACTGTAGCTGCGAGCTAGCATAAACATCCAGAGCTTTTCTATGCACATTCAGCCTAAGTTTCTTTGCAACATTCACAGCACTTTGAGACCATCTGTACACACAATTACAAAACAATTATTTTCAACGAATGCTTGATAAACCAACTCTTTAAACAAACTTTCACAACAGTCGACATTTCTGTTCAAGCTGAAGCTGAAATGTCGTTTTCAGAGAAGACAGAAGCAGCACGAAGAGGCACGAAGAAGACAAGGCCATGAAGGCTTTGGAGAAACAGCCCTTATTATCCCCTGTCAATGGCAGTATCTCGAACCTGGAATAACCCTGATACTTGCTGTTATACTTTTATCTTTGAACTGGAGGAGTTCAAAATGTGGGATTACCGATTTACTCTGCTTTTCTGTAAACAGGCGTCCTGTAGAGCTGTAGTTCTCAACTTGTGGGTCAGGACCTAAAGTGGGTCATGGAGCCCTTTTCAGTGGGTCGGGAATGTGTGCTTGGAAAAACACTTGTTGCAAAAAAGTCTATTATGCTCTTTTTAAAATATGTTTTCCATCTCTTTGTTCTCTCACACTTTGTTCCGTCTGAGGTTCAACCTGCCCTATATTTCAATAAATAAATGTCAGTGGTTGACAAAGGTCAGTAATTTGGGTCTCGATTTCTCATTGAGGTTATGGTGGGTCCTGAGACTAGACCAGTTGAGAACTGCTGCTGCAGCATCACAGAAGGGCCTTTACCATTATTGTCCTCGGAGCAGTGAGGAGGGCAATATATTAAAAACATTTAAGATTTTGCACATTGCACATTTTGCAGTAATCTCTACAAATGCCCACCTTGTGCTCTGGTGGAACAAAAGAAGTTCAAAGAAGTTTGACGTCATGTTTTAAGGTGTCAGTGTATTTTAATACATGTAATAATATAATTTAACAAGAAAAAGTAAACACAAACGCAAAACAAATATATGTATTTGTTTGCACGTTTTCTAATGCGGGGACCTCCATCCAATTAGGTGAGCAAGCCGATAGATCTGATAAGCTAACGGTTAAGTTATGCTAGCTAGCCAAAGTATTCATTCAAGCTAGCTAGATTCAACATTAAGTTGTTATTCAAAATTGAAAAATATGACAGCAAATTTTATGGCGATGTAGGCCAAAGAACTACGCATCAGTTACAATATTACTGCAGCATTTGACATAAAATAGTTATATTTTGTTTTACTTTAAAAACAGATAACTTAAAAAAGTTTTGGGACTTCTGAACTTGAACTTTGTAATTTATGTTCCGTGGTCAGTAAGGTAATGAAGTACGTTTTTTCTTTTCTGTAAATGGGAAGCAGGTTTAAAACAATTTGTATGCTATCTAGCTAGCATCATCTGCTTAGTTTTGTCTCATATGAAAGTAGAACAGCATTTATTAGGTTTCATATGATAGTAAATGTGCTGAGAAACGGACAACATTCATACTGCTAAGAGAAGACGCTACGTAGCATTCAGGAGAATATCCTGACCGATTAAAAACAACAGAGACGCCGCGCTTTGTGCTATTCTTTTGGAAACTGTGTCTCTTTGTTTTTTATTGTCAGTACCTGTAAACATGATGATGAATGATTTTGTTGTTCAATGGCCTTCAGACTGAGTAACAGACAGACATTTCGTCATCACAACACCCGGTTAAAAAGGAGGCTCTGCTACTGTCGCCTCCTTTTTGTGTGGAATCAAAATCTCAGAAAGACAAGAAAAAAGCATGATAGTGATGCAAAAACAATTCAACATGAATGCTGACTAACTGTAGAAACACTGTTCAGAAATACAGAAACAGAAATAATATGAAAAACGGAAACATTAAAATCTTGCAGTTTTTGGTTTTTGTTGTTGCTGTTTTTGAGCGATTGAGGATTTTCATTCCAAAATGCTACATATCCTTTTTTTTAAACATACAGTACTCCATCTTCTTTATTATTTATTTAAATTCAGTCAGTGTATTTGTTTATGTCTTTGTTTTTTGGATATCTCCTTTTGGAATGAAACCCCTGATTTTTCTTTGCTACGCTGAAACGTGAAACATGATGAAGCACATTAGTGAATATCCTCGTACACTGATGATGCCTTCTTTTATCTTTCTCATGCTTTTGAGCTGCAAGTTAAAACTACTTTCACTTATATAAAAATTAAATAACTCAACAACCTCAATATATATTCTACACAAGGTCAAGACTAAAAGAAAGTTGTAGCAAATGCACGTTAGCTCAGAGAGCTTTAAGTAAACAAAAACCCTACCGTAGCAAAGTGATCAAAAATCAGAAAATGACACAAAACACTTAAAATTTTTAAATAATGTGCCTCTCTGCTTTAAGATTTTTTTTTTTATATATAGTAATGGCTTCTTTTGATTCCTTGACTGTAATTATCAGTGCAATTTTGTTCAAGTGTACATAAAGACGGTTATCGGAGAGATTGTGAAGTTTTGTGGTTTTCATAAGGTAATTAAATCGCCACTTTTCAGTAGCTTACTTGATTTTTTCTGATTGTCAAAAGGAGAAAGTGCAGATGTTAACCCTTCTTATAGCTTGTCCTAACAGAATAAGACGCAAGCGAGCGCCAGCTAAAAAAAATCAGCTTGAGTGTCATTACGGCCAGCGAGCAGCGCACGGTGTTTCTATTTTCCTCTCTTTGATCGCATAGACAGACGAGGAACGAGGAAGGAAGGGGCTCTCTTCTCACTATCAGAGCTTGTTAGCTAGTTTTAATGGCTAGAGCTAACAGTGCATTAATAAAATCCACATCCATGACTGACATGTTGACCTTTGACTTGTGTTCACACAGGAGAAAAACTTTGTTCCTCTCACCGCGAGCCGTTTATTGACGAGTGGTGTGATTTGAGTCAACAACTCATCATTACAAAACACCACACTTCAGTTTGTTAACCTTCAAAATAAAAGCACCACACTTCAGTTTGTCCACCTTCAAAATTATAGCACCACATATTATAATGTTTGAAAGGGGAAACTGAAATTCACAGAGCAGAGAATGAAATATTGACGCGATATCAAACGCTTGCGTGCTGCTAGGACACTGTGTGAAAAATAACTGCGTCATGGCTGAGAATATGGAAGCACATTGCAAACACCAAACACAAAAAAAAAATCAAAAAATAATAATCAACACATTGATGGAAGATTTTGGCCGCATTGTCCATCACTACTTTTGGCTTCACTTGTGTAATTTTAATATTTTTTGCCTTTGTTAATGCAATGTGCTTTCATATAAAAGGGGCAGGACTTACAGCTTAAACCCTCCAAGGCCCCGTGTCCACTTAGTGTTTTTTTCTGAGCACCAGCGTCTTTTTTCAATTGTTTCAAAGAGTAGAGTGTGTCACAGCGGCCGCCTGGAGAAAAAAGTGCTGCTCAAGTTGAAAACATTTAAACTTTTCAGAAAGGCGCTCTTTTCCAAATGTATAGTATTCCCCGTATTTTTGCCGCCTACAGATGGAATCTGGTACCCACATCCTCCTCGCTCTGTGTCTGATCGGGAAATAAACGATCTCAAATAAAAAAGTAACGGAGCAGTGTCGGTCATACAGCGATCGTTTTCAACAGACTGTTGTCATAGAGACAGGATGGACATGCAGCGCTTTTATTCTACACACAAACGCTCAATGCAAGTGCACAGCCAGCGCTTTTCTGACTAGAATAATAGTTATGTGGACATGGTGCCTATCTCCATCAAAAATTACCCTGTTTAGGAAAATAGCTCTCATAGTTTTGGAGCGACTGATGTTTAAAAAGTCTCCTCATTTCTGATAAAGTTGTGCGTTCACTCATTTTGTCACCAATCTTGTTTCCGGTCTGTGTATACGTGACCTGGTCCTCAGAGTTCACTGACCCTCTCACTCAGGGTCTCAAGCTCCTCATCCTGCTCCTGGTAACGCTCCAGCCCCTGTAGGCCGTCGCCACGGGGACCGTTGCCCACCACCGGGGGGTAGTCGAGCCCGCTGAGCTGGGCGTGGTGGTGCCAGCGCAGGTCGTCACTCTCGTGGGTGATGTAGCGCTCGTTCATCCGGGTCTCCAGGTTCCTCAGGTCCAACCACATCTGGTAGTCCTGGTGGAGAAAACAAACTATCAGTGATTACATCAAGTGGTCCAATTGTTCGATTGTTGAAGTCACTCCGGCTCGCCCGTCACGTCCCACAGCTCATCTATGAAGCACCTCTGCTGGCATGCAATCACTGATAGTTTGATCAGAGTCCATCACCAATCGGTTATATAGCATCATATAGCGCCCTCTGCTGGTGATAGAGGACTGCAAGTGTGATAAAATTAAACTCAAATTAAATGCTATTTGACTGGTGAATACATCTAAAAATATTGGCACATATCTGCGATAAAATGAGCCGATACAGATAGTACCAGGATATGCTGATATCGGCCAAAACTATCGGCTGGCATATTAATCGGTCAGGCTCTAACAAAAAAGTTTTTTTAATGAACTTTCTAAAAACTTGAAGAGTAAAAAATCTAACAATAGATGAAACAACAAAGACAGAAAACTTTGAAAACTCCACAAGTTGAGTTTTTTTTTCTATTTCAAACAAAGTAAAACTTCTTATTGGCCATAAATATAATGTCATACGATCATCTAACATCATATCAAGCTTTTATATTTAAGATAAAACTAATATTCAGTTGTTTCCATTCTACCAGGAGAAATTAAGTTTGTTTAAATCATCTTCAAATTCACATTTCAGTTTTTGATTCTCTTTCACACACTTAAAATCAAAGGTTATGGAGCGTCTTACCTGTAACCACGGGTGACTGAGGGTTTTGTCCACGCTGTATCTCTTCCTCATCTTCACCTGCAGCAGGTTATTCATCAGGTCAATCGCTGCGAGGAAGGAGAGACAGAAAAAGGAAGAAGAAGAAAAAGAAGTGATGAGCAAGCAGAAAGTCCAACAGAGGGAGGGAGAAGGTGGGCGTAGGGCCCCCACCTCCCCCTGTGGAGAGGGGCCAGTCGGGGCTAATGAGCAAAGCTAACATGATGTTAACATTTCTTCAGGGGTCAGTGGTTTGAACAGCTCTGGGACCCCGTGGCCCCTCAGGTCTGCAGGGGCCTCCTTCGCTTGGTATTATGCACATGAATGGAGCAGCACATGAATACCCCCCGAAATCTGTCCGTCTAACTCTCTTTTCCAAGAAAAGCCCGGACCCTCGTTGCTTCTCAGGGCGCTTTCTCTCTCTCACACACACACACCCTCCTCCTCCTTCACTCCTCGCATGAACCTCCTTTAATCTGCACTTTCTCTGTGCGACGGGGCAGAAGGATGGTGGTTTCAGTCTGTCCAACTCCAAAACAGAGAAGAAAAACTTTTCCTGTCAGTCAAACTTTCCACTGTCCGAGTCTCCGACACATTTTTTAAGGAAGAATCTTAAAATAGATGTTAAATAGTTTTATTTCCTTAACCCGGCCTCTGTGATGTTTGTTCTAACAGCTGGATATTTCCTGTGTTCATAAGACTGTGGATGTCATTTAAATTTTCTCTGCTGTTGCTGCTCTCTCTCTCTCTCTCTCTCTCTCTCTCTCTCTCTCTCTAATCTTCCCCATAGGCCTATCTCATTTACAATGAGGCAATGTTTACACCCCGATTTCAGCCGGTACCCTTTTGACCTTTTGTTGTGTCTTAGCTTCTCACCTCGGATCATTTTTAAACAGTGTGCACAGCGGGTGTCATCAAAATCTCCTCGCCTAAACATGGAACTTTGTTGAAGAGAAAAACTAAAACCTTTCTGTTTTAAGTGGATTGTTTGTGTGTAAACGTGGCCTATGTGAAACAGCAGCCCTCTGAAGGTTAAGGGGGTTGCTATGTGGGGAATATATGGTGGCCAATATTCTCCTCCTCTTCTTCAGTTTAAATATCTCAGAAAATGTGTGTGAAGTTTCTTGTTCTAAATCCACTCTGATCCTGTATTTGATCATGTCTATAAACCCCTCTATTTCAGCCCTGCTCAGAACAGACTGTTTCTGTGTCTGTACCTTTAAATGTAAATGAGCTGTGTCTGACCACGCCTCCTCTCTGGAAGGGCTTGGGTGTCTCGGGCTTTCTCGCTCCATGTCCTATTGTTTACAGTGAGAAGGCAGACTCAGAGGGCAGAACAAACACCTAGCTGTGGGAGTGTCACCCACCTGGGGGAGGAGTTACTGCCCTTTGTGATGTCATGAAGGGAAAATCTCCAAACAGCCTGTTTGAGCACACATTTTCTGAAAAGTGGAGCAGGCAAAAGACGGAGAGGATGGACTTTTCTCCTCATTGGGGGGTTTGTAGACACGACGCCACATCCCTGCATGGTGTACATTTATTCACAAAGGCACTGACTGATAACGTTTAATATGAAACTTCCTGAAAAGTCCTGTGGCTGATTGTTTCCAGAACACTTATCAAACACTGTGAATGTCCCCTAACTCTATTTGATGAAACGCTGGAGTCGTGTTGATCGTGGGCGGCTCTCGAGCAGAAACCTTTTTAAAGTATCTTCTCTCAAAGTGATCTTTTATTGACGCACTAAGAGTCGATTCTGTGACATTCAATCCTCCTGCGTCCGACAGAAACAACTCTTACAACACTTATTCCTGAGCGGCCGAAGTGTCTCCGGCGGGATGAGGAGGTGGACGGGAGGTTAGGAGCGCTTCGGGGATCCGGCCGAGGAGCGGAGTGAGTCAGGCTGATTTAAATCTGTCTTATAGTCAACAGGACAATTCCAGCCAACACACACACACACACACACACACACACACTGAGGGCGGACGCGTTTAGAGACAATGACGACAACATGATGAGTCACTCAGCAGCAGAGAGAGACTGAGAGCGACTTCAAGGCTGCTCTGAGCGATCACACGGCTGCAGGAGGAAATAATAACTGAGAGTCAGACAGAAGGTGAAACGAGGCTTTCCTTTCTAATCACCTCATCACACGGGACATTTACACTTTCATTTTAATTTGTGTAGATAAGAAGTCTGATGCACAGTGTGATGACAAAACGCCTGTCTAAAGCTTCAATCATCAGAAAATAATCAGCCGTGTGCGAGTGTGAAGAATAAAAGATGGATGTTCTGGCTGCAATAGTTTTTATTTTACAGCTCAATGTAATCAGGACTATGCTCCAATCCGCCCACAGGAAGTCCTTGATTTGGTGTTTACACTGAGACTCATAACCAGGAGACCCGAACTCATGTTAACACACTCAGACAGAAATAGTGTTTCATGGTTAAAAAATGAACCGCTATAAAACTGTGGGTGAGTTACACGCGATGCAGCGTCCGTTTGTGCTGCTTTCTGTCAGCACTACGTTTGCTCCCACTCTAGTCAACGATCGTGTTTCCACCGCACACATCGCAGTGCGTCTCCAGAGCCTGCCAGAAGCGTCACTCTTCTCTGCTCCATTTCAAATACGCTGCGAGTCTATTTTTGCAGAAGCATGCTGCAGGCACGCATCAAGCTGGACGGAATAGAAAGGCCCCGGACAGGAAGTGAGGCAAGGAAACGCACAGAGCATCTATTGAATTTCAAAATAAAATACAACATACAGACTGATCATATTTTTCATCACTTTATCAACATGACGTCACAACAAGCACCGAAGGAAAAGGAAATCATCCTGGGTAAGACGGAGCAACATGTTGTTTACACATTATTCCCGCGTGATCTTGTTGCTCCAGAAACGGACCCAGTGAGGCATGGCGGGCGCCGTCGGATGGAGCAAAACCGCTGCGCTGACGGTCCACAGCTCACACAGACTATGTGGAAATTGCGGGTTAGACCATCTGCAACATCACAGCCTGTTTGTCAGACATGAAACTGCGGCTACAATCATCAGAAAATCATCACCCTTCCTTGAGTTTTCTCAAAGTATTACACCGGAATGCGACCAAATGACGTCATCGAGAACTGTACAACAAGAGAATGCTAAGAGAGAAGTCTGGGCTCTTTGAAGGACACTCAGACATGAAGCGATGGAACTCGTGCCTTATGATGAAGAAGTGAACAGCTACAAGACAAAGGGTGAGGAGGACGTTTCTGTTGTTTGGTTCGTGTGTTAAAGAGAGATCAGTGAGCTATTTATGGGTTACAGTGTTCACATAAAGTTTAGGGCCGTGGCGTGGGACGTACCTTCATTGGAGACTTTCTTCCAGGGATGAGGAGGGTACATGAAGGCAGCGTTCTGGATCTGATCGTTGATGTCTTCGTCTTCATTGAAAGGAAATGTCCCGCTGAGACTGCAGAACCAGAACAGAACCAACAACACAACATGAGTCCATGGTTCATTCAAAGTCAATATAATATATAAAAAGACTCTGGTACCTGACGTAGATGATGACCCCGACCGACCACATGTCCAGCGAGCGGTTGTAGCCTTTGTTCCTCAGGACTTCGGGAGCGAGATAGGCCGGCGTGCCGACCACCGAACGCCTGAACGACTTCTCACCGATGATCCGAGCGAAACCAAAGTCGCACAGTTTCACCTGGAACAAGACAGTCAGGGCCGGGTACGTACACTTATCTGTTAGCTCATCTAAATACAAATGTCTTGTTCTCTAATTGGTCATATTATCTTGTGGTAAACCTCTGAGAAGTAAACAAAGACTAGCTGCCTCCTGATTGGCTGTTGCTGCTTCAATGACTCTTGACAGTTTCTGAATGGACAACGACACAGAGAGATGTCGGCTCTGCTCATCAGGTTTTATATCGTTTGTATTTATCACTGAAGGCGAACGAGACAGTTTGAAAATAATATGTTGATGTTCTTGAGTTGCTGAAGTCGCTTATTAAAGGGAACATATTATGAAAAATCCACTTCTACAGTGTTTTTGAACATATATTTGGGTAACCTGAGTGTCTATTGACCCCAAAAATGTGAAATAAACCCATCCAGTCCTTTGTTTGTGGTCTGCATAAGTCTTACAACACAGAGAAAAATGCTAAAATGCTGTTTCCAGTGTGCTCTCCTTGTGATGTCACAGTGGGATTCTGTTAAAAAATACCCTCCCCTCCCCTGGTATCTCCACCCATGGACTACACCACCCAGCCTAGAGCAAAATTTTGCGCAGGTCCGCCATTTTTATTCTCGGTAGTGAAGGAGTGATGTCTACGAGGAAAACTAGGGGGGGAAATTTCATTTAAAGAGACACACACACCAAAACGGAGCGTTCTGAGAGAGCTGGTTTATACAGGGTCACAAACCTCCTCTGGTGCTTGATTCATGTTATATTTTGACCAAAGCACAGCACAGATGTTTCAGTTAGACCACAGGGGACTGTTTGAAAAAGGGGAAAAAGGGGGGATAATATGTCCTTTTTAAGACAGTTCAGGAGAAGGAGCACGTTAGTCCTCCTGAACCAGGACCTGCTCATCCACCCAAACTGTTTCTGAAAGTCCGTCAGGTCTGCCTCTGGTCTGGAAACGTCACTTATCAATAAATTCTTCAATAGGGAGCTTCTTGGGTTGCAGATCTTGTTTGGTTTCCTTTAGCTATTCATGTTCTTGGATCCAGCACCCACTGAGGGATTTGCATGTATTTTTTTGATTTTTTGATTCTGCCTGTGGTCTTTAACACATGTTCAGTGATGACAAACAGAGAAGGCACACGGTGGTTACTTTGGTCAGATCGTGTTCTTATCACAAACCCCAGAGTCCGATAAAAAGTGGACCAGAACCCACCCTTTCAAGTGGTCTCTGTACGGTTGTATGGTCCACACCGGGGTTTGATTGACAGCTTTCACACAGGTGCAGACGAACCGCAATCACTCAGCAAACAGACTTTTAATTGGTTGTTTGTGTAATGCAGGTGTGGTTATAAAAATATCTCAGGGTTGACTGAGTCTGTGGGGGAGGGGCCCAATGTGAGACCTGTTCATGGGGCCCAGAAGGAGACCCTCCTGGAGAGAAGACACAATCTGAGGGAAATTCTTCTTAATGAGTCTGAAAGTTAAACTCTGACTCCGTGTTGGTGTTGGCTCTGAGGCAGCATCAGTCACTGTTTGGATGGGAACAGGAGGGAGGATGAGTGTGATGAAGCTGCTATCTTTGCAGGATGATTCACACACACACACACACACATACACACACGCACACACACATACACACACACACACACACTGAGGAGAAACATGGAAGTCATCTCAGAGAGGTTGGCTCACTTCGCCTTTGGGTTGTGATGAATCAGTTCTCCTCAGCATCGACTCAGACTTCTATTTTAGCTCGTGTCGTTCTCATCCAGGTGGATGTGTAGATGTAGGTGAAATGACCTTGTTGGTGAACCCGCCAGAGAAGCAGTATTGTTGTTGTTTATCAAATTCATTCGATGATTGACATCCTTTCTCATGCACCTGGACACTCACTGTCAGCTTATCATCCTCTGCGGTGTCAATCAACTCTAAGCTCCAAAGATGACTTGTTTTTAAAATGGGATTTCTTCCTTTTTTTAAATAGCATGCTACCTGTGAAGAAGGTGAAGGTGTATTCTCTCTTCTTAAGGCATCTATTCCAGCAGTTCCCCCCCTCCTGCTTCCAGCCGTTATGCTAAGCTAGCGATGTCTACAGTCCACTCTGACATCAAACAAAAGATTTCACACAAATACTGATTCTCTCCAAATAATTTTATGGCTTATACCTTATTTTTTCACAAGTGGGCAAGCAGATCTTTTCCTTTGTCTGGTTTTATGGTAGCTATGTTAAGCCATGCTAACCTTTAACTTTTATCTTTTGATGGAGCTAGGCTAGCAGTTTCGCTTTGCTTTTAGCCTTTAAGCTAAGCTAGTCGACACACAGACTCTGAGAGAGAGGGAAAAACACAAAGTTTCACTTTTTGCTTTAAAATAAATAAATTATCTTACTTTATATTGTTTGAAATTCTGTTACCAGACAAGCAAGCATTAATGCATAAGATGCACACGACATTTTGCAGGCGCTACAGCACAGTGTTTGTCTCCTGAGTTGTTCAGGAGTAGCAGTGATCCACAGTCGGTAAAGTGTGTGAGGAACACTGAGCCCAGCAGCCGGCCTGATGCATCATTAGCGTTAACAGTTTGTGTGTCTGACACAAACAGCTATTTGTGGAGAGGAGACTGAAAACTGCAGAGAGCTGCTAATAGTTACACTGAAAGCTAATGGACTGTCTGAGTCTGCCGTGTTTGTTTGCCTGGAGCTGCCTGTTTCACCTCTTCTCTGGATGAACATGTTTCATCAGAGGTTTTTCTGTTATATCAGAGTCTGGTTAGTGATTTATCAGGACACCATGCAGAGTTAGGTTTCATCTTTAAAATCATTGTTTCCGCCTGTCTGTCCTCTCACACCAGCTTTGTTTACGCGTCAAAATGTCTTCAATCTAATTGAGGTCATTTTGATTTGGCCTTAATGTCACCGTTTACAAGGACGCTAAATAAAGTGACCCGATAACGATGTGATGCACATGTACATTCATCAAACATTTAATGATGTTCTGGATTTATCCTCAAATATTTCTCATTATTCATGGAGCTTCTGTGATTCTTTATGAGAGTATTTCGGTTTGTAAGTCTGCTCAAAAATAATGCAGAAACTCTCTCTCTCTCCCTCACACACACACACACACACACACACACACACACACACACACACACACACACACACACACACACACAGACCATGTACCTGTGGAAACGAGTCTGCAGACGCCAGCAGGACGTTTTCCGGTTTCAGGTCACAGTGGACGATGTTTTTAAAGTGAAGATGACGCAGAGCCACCAGGATCTGAAGAAAACACACAGAAGTTAAATTAATATCCTGAGGGGGGGGGGGGGGGGGCGCTAGAGGAAAGGCGCCCATCCATCCATCCATCCATCATCTATACCGCTTTCGCATTCAGACGAGAGGCGGGGTTAAACCCTGGACTGTTCACCAGCCAATCACAGAGCTGACATATAGAGACAGACAACCAGCCACACTCACATTCACACCTACAGACAGTCTAGAGTCAGCAGTTAACCTAACGAGCATGTCTTTGGACTGTGGGAGGAAGCCGGAGAACCCAGAGAGAACCCACACATGCACGGGGAGAACATGCAAACTCCACACAGAGAGGCTCCTGTCAGACGGGGATTCAAACCAGGAACCTCCTCGCTGACCACTGCACCACCGTGATCTTCAAGTTGAATACTTAACACTCATAAATGTTTGTGCAGCAATAAAAGTCTGAGGTCAGAGACCCTGTTAGCTGTTAGCAACCAAAAAACCTGAAAGGGTTAGATTTAAATGTGTGTGTGTGTGTGTGTGTGTGTGTGTGTGTGTGTGTGTGTGTGTGTGTGTGTGTTTCTGTGACCTGTGTGACCAGGAACTTGGTGATCCTCTCGGGCAGTCGTCCCTTCTCACTGGACAGGATCATCTCCAGCATGTCTCCGTGGAGCTTCTCCATGACCACAAACACTCGCTCCGGCGTCTCAAACATGCAGTCCAGGTTAACCACCCCCGGGTGGTGCAAACTCTGGAGGGAGCGAGGAGGAGAACTGATCAGAGAGAGCTGGGACCGTTGTTTGTCCGCAGGATTTAGGAGAAACTAGCAGCGATATTCTGTTTCTGCTGAAGAGTGTCAAAAAGTCAGTTTTTAAAATATGAAACTGATTTATTTTCATTCTTTGAAATGTTTAACTTGTTTCCATGTTTGTTCTCACCAAGAAGGAAAAAAAGCCTTAAAAATGACACAAACAGAAATGAAATCCAAAATCCACAAAATGATAAATCCTGATAAACACACACGGTAAGGAGTATATTCATATTTCCCGACATGCTCATTTAATTCCCGATGTTCTCACCTGTAGAAGAGAGCAGGTGTGTGTGTGCGTGTGTGTGTGGCAGCAGCTCCTGCAGGTTGAGCAGAGCTGGATTATTACAAGATGTCACACCCCTACAGTGTTGTCACAGTAATGAAGTCGATCACGACAGGAAGTCTCACTCGCTGCTGATAGGAGTGTGTGTGTGTGTGTGCGTGTGTGTGCGTGTGTGTGTGTACGTGTGTGTGTGTGCGTGTGTGTGTGTGTTTACCTGCAGGATGGCCACCTCGTTACGAAGCTGACTCTCCTGTTTGGTTGGGAAGCGGAGTTTGTCGATGATCTTGATGGCGACGTCTCTGCCAGACTTCCTGTGTTTACCTGCATGAAAAACAAACAATAAACACACTCAGCTGTTAGCTGTTCTATGATTAAGCAAAGTATATCACTCCTCTGTTGTATTTAAGTACAGCTTCTAGGCACTTGTACTTTGGACAATTTAACTACGCATGAAGGTTTTCAGTCGTACCAAAGAGTTCCCAAACTTAGAGCATCTACATCTGATTCATCAGAAAGGAGCTTTCGGGAGGGATGAATCCATCACAATCTGCAGTTAAACTCCTGCACAGTGTCTCAATTGCATAAAGACAATGCCAAAGTTTGGTACTGAAACGTTTGCAATGTTTTTTTTGCTATTTAGATGGTGTGCAGGTTTCCTAACACTGGTTGCCTACGAGCTCTGACTCGTCATTTTGAGGGAACAGTCTCAGGTGTCGAGCTGCTGCTAACACCAGGACATGACTCTTTTATATCGTTTTCATGTTTTCTTTAAGATATTTTTTAAAATAAAGCAAATATTAAACACACAGAGCAAATAAATCTGACCTAAAAGTGAAGAGGAGGTTAACTTTTGTTACCTAGCAACATTAAACGAAGGTTAGAAGAGCTCTGAAACTGAGGTGGTGAGCAATGCCATTATTGGACCTTGTCCTTAGATTGACTGATGCTGAATGATGCTGCATGTAGATGTGCTGTTTGAGGCTCTTTGTGTTTTACCTCCGTAGACGATGCCAAACTGCCCCGAGCCGAGAACCTCATCGGGGAAAATCTGATACACAGAGTTGATATCCTGAAACAGAGAGGAAGTGTTCTAAGACTAAATAAAACATAATCATTATTGAACAACTCAGTCATGAGTCCATGTGTTTGCACTGAATGTTAAATGAATGAATGTTGGATTTGTTTGTATTTTGAGATTATGTAACTATTAAGGCGTTTTCACACATACACTCCTGAAAAATCAAAGAGAATTTCAGGTAAACGTCTGCTGCAGGACGAACAAATCTACCGGAGGGGTTCCACATTTTGTGTAACTATTTGTAATTTAAAAAAACAGGCCCTGGGTTTAAAAATACTGGAGTTACCCTTTAAAGTTCAGAGTTTGAACGTCTGTTTCTCTGGTGAGAAGGTGTTGAAGGAAGGTGCGGCAGGGCGACAGAAACAGAGTTCAGCTTACAGAAAGTGAATCTTATTGATTCAGGTTACTGGGCGCGGAGTGAAACTACCCGGCGTCAGTGATCCGCCACAGCTTTGACACCAAAACTGCAAAATATTTTCTCCCTGTCTGCGATCACGTCTCCCTCTCCTCCCCTGTTAACTGACAGGCTAATATCACACCTCGAGCAGAGAGGACAGAAATACAATATTATAAACCTCCTCCTACCCCTTCACCCCCCCGTCTCGCTGCCTAATTACCATTCGTCGTCATGGAAACCGTTTGGCTGAGTGAGTAATCACAGTAATCTCCGTCTGAGGTGCTTGAGGACGTGCTCACCTTGGAGACGGTGAGGTGAGCGCCTGCATGGAAATGGGACTTGATGTTCTCCGCGCTTCCATTTGCATGAATAGAGTTTGCAGACATTTGAGCTTTATGGAAATCTTTATGATGTAAATGTACACGTCGAGTGTTTGATGCATACAGACTCGGTGACGCGTCCTCCAAGTCCTCAAAGGCAAATGGATTAAAAGGCGAGGAAGGATCACACGGAGGAGAGGTTCAAACAGGAAGTGGTTTATTATGAAAAAGAAACATTAATCCTCCTCTCAAAAGTAGAAAGGAAGAAAAAAAAACAGAATCTCAAGATACATTTTTTTTGATGATGTCAACCAGCAACCAGCAGTATGGATGGGTGTTGAGATTTTTTCTTTTTGGGGTACAAGTACCTGATTGGTCATGGTCAAATGGTTAGCATTCTGTATTTTTTGTTTTCATCCAATGGCGGGGCTTTAGCGGAGCCTCATTATCACTTTAATTACAAGCTTTAAAGAACAAATAAATGCAGATCTCACAACAGAGGAAGGGAGCCCAGCAGGAAGCAACGGACGGAGCGGATCATTATGACTGAAGAGAGATGACGTGATATAAAACGTTGTTGGCTCATGAAGCCTGATGTTCCTCTGCATGTCTGAGGACGCTCAAGCAGCTGCACTGCAGACTCAAGTTTTCATTAACTTACAAAACCCGTCATGAAATGTCTGTCTCCTGCATTGTCATGAACTCCTGGGTCACATCTCCTGATGGAGTTAACAGCATATGGAGACGTAGGTCATGAACTATAAAGACTCAATCTGAAGTCACATATTCCTTATTTGCAACTAGTGGAGGCCCTCCCTGCTGACATCAGAAAGGTTTTAGGCTCTCCCTGATTGGGTAGGAGGACCACTTTCCAGATATAACTAAACCTTTTGATCTTCCACACTTGCAGAAAACTCCTGATATTTTCCAGGCTGAGCGTCATGTGTGAACACAAACAGCTGAATGTTTCTCTCTTCACCCGGAGTATCTCCTCCAGCCTCCTCGTATTTATTCTGCAGAAATTCAGAGTGTCTGCACGCCACCTCTACGATCTCTGTGCTCTAATGAACCTGCTGCTGCATGTTTCCTGTTCTCCAGTATGTTCTTCTCCACTCTTTAGTTCAGATTGGGATTCTGTTCAACTACATGTAGCATTGATAGAAAGACAGATATTCTCATTATAGCGTCGTAAAGAGGACTCGTCTGCTACTTCCCCGTTATTTTTTTAACGTCACTTCTTACCTCATGAGACATCTGTGTGTATAAGTGTGTGTGTGTGTGTGTGTGTGTGTGTGTGTGTGTGTGTGTGTGTGTGTGTGTGTGCGCGTGCGTGCGTGTCTGTGGGTGTGTGCTCTCACCACATTCTCCTGTATCTGGCAGTTGGAGACAGAAATACTGATGGAAACTTCCTCTGTGGATGAGACACAAAAGAGTTCAGAGTTCAAACCACAGGAACACGTTCAGGGTGAACTCACCAATAAAGAAAATCGTTTCAAAAATGGTGAGAATAAAGGTTTCACTTTAGATGCCTGAAGTTTGTGCTGATGTGTATTTACTCTGTGTCTTTATAGAACTGTTATGAATGTGAAGCCTTGAGGCGGTTGGACCACAGTATTATTTTAGTCCTCTTTCCCCACAGGTGAACGCACAAGGATTCAGAGAACACAGTGAAGTGTTAGTCATGATCGCTTTGACGTCAGTAAAGGTCTGAAATATCTCTGATGGGTTTCATGTGGGCGTCGACAGCCCTGATGGGAGCTGAGAGTCTGCAGGAGAATCCAGCATCAACGGAAACATTTTTACTTGAGCTGGAAACCTGAGAGGAGTCTGATTCACAGGTGGGATTGTGCTAAAATGACATGTATATTTATCTGGTTTCTCGCAGACATTAGTTAGGGAGTAAAGAAAATAATCAGTTTGCCAATAGCCATAGAGCCTATGGCAAACTAAATGCTGTTGTTGTCTACACGAACAGTAAAAACCTCAACAAGAGGTTACTGTCTTCGGCTGAAACCATTGTTGTGTAACAGGGCCTTAAACCATAAAGAACATGTGCATATCTTGTACTTAAAAGTCTATATCATGAACAGATACAGCCATGCAGACACTTTCAGGGCAGTAAAGGGACCCCAGCTCATCAAAATCAACAGCCGAATAAACATCAATGTCATCTGCATAGCGATGATCCCTTATTGTTGAATACAAAATAACAGCAGTAGGGGATCAAGAACCTAGGCTTGTGGGAAGCCATATGGAAGGTATTTCCTACAATGACTGTAACAAGAGGTTTTGAATTTAAGGAAGTAATCAAACTAGTCTAGGTATGCTCTAAAATCACAACTTATTTTATCACCTATCAACATAAAGTTTGCCGTCATCTGATGTTTGAAGTTTATGTGTCTTCCTGTGTTTATTAGTTTATTAAGTGAACCCATAGTTGAATTTTTTGTGAACTCTCAAGGCGATCTCTCTGTGAGCTGTGTTGGTGTCTTACTGTGTCCTCCGCGGTGGGGATTGTGGGAAATTCCCGTAGAGACCGCTGGCATCAGAGCGTGCTGGATAGCCATTTCCCACATCCGAGACACATCCTGCCCCACCCCGCTCACCTGGAACAGGTAGTAATAACATTTATTTATAAGTGATCATCATGTGTTTTCTCGTTGATGCACAAGGGTACGGAAAGATAAAAAACAAGCAGTTCTAGCTACCGTCCAAAACGTTCTCACTGTAAACAAAGTGTAACTTATCATAAACGTAAACGGATTTGGATTCTTCATTTTCTTGTAATATTTGGTGGTTGGCAAATCAGCGTAGACATGCATTACTGCCCCCAGCTGGAGTGGAGTGGAACAAGAGAAGTGGATTGAGGGAAGGTAGAAAGTAATCTGGGCAAAAACTATGAAAGAACTAATTCACTGAAAAACTCTGCTCACCTCATGCTTAGCATTGAGGTGTTGAAAAGTATTGGATGAACTTCTGTTAAGTTACAAAAGGATTAAAATAAAAGATGGCTAATATCCCCTAAACTGCAATGTCTCAGTGTGGACATAAAATAGCATACATTCTTCACCATCCATCCATAACTATTCACCAGAATGTTGCTGCCGCTCACAGATGATTCGGCTCTCTGCAGATTCTCTCCGACGTAGTAAACCAGCGACGCCGTGGCGATCTCGAAGCAGTGAGGATTGGCCCCCTCAGGAAGCAGAGAAAGAGTCTGAGCGGCTTCCAGAGACAAGATCTCAGACAGAGGGATCTCCTGCACAGAAACCAAAGATGGATATGAATCAGTGATTGCAACTCAAAAACAAAACCCTCCATCCAGCTGCAGTCTGGGTACCCAAAGAACATGCATGTGGCTTCAATCAAAGAGCGACATAGGCCTTACTGAAAAGATTCTGACGATTCTAGTGTCCATTTGAAATTGGAAAATATGGGAAATTGTCTTCTCTTTATCCATTTTTGCAACATTTACCAAAAGAACCAACCAGGCCTGCCTCATTTCATGACCCAAAACGTGTTCCCCATCTTCAGCACATAGGGTGCCAGCTCAGAGATTGTTAATGTTTCATGAAGCAACAAGATTTTGAAAGATGCCAACATGCAACTTTCTGAACAGATGCTTTAGACAAATACGCAAAACAGCTCTGAAAATGTCAACATTTATTTAAACATTTCTGAAGGAAAAAACTGCACTGCTGAAGAGAGTCTTACCTTATAGTATTTACTTCCTGTTTCATTGTGAAATAGCGTGATGCATTTACTGTCCAGCCTCCAGTAATGTCTCTTCCTCTGAAACACGGAGGAGAAGAAGGTATCAGAAGTTAGATGAGAAGAGAGTGGATGCACCAAAACAGATATAAAGTCAGTGTGGTGTGTGTCCAGAGGAGGAGTCAGAGGAAGAGAAGAGAAACAGACCACAAAACAGAATCTCATTAAAAATGTTCAAACTTTAACACCGAGCTGAGAGATGAAGATCAGTAACACCTCCTCACGATGCGGATTACTTCTTCACTCTTTTGTTTTTAAAACTGAGGAACATTTGGAGAAGTTTAGACGAGAAATCTGCCAAAATATTTGCACTGACACAAATCAACAAGTCAAAATAACGTCTTTTCTATCAACATTTCCTCATTATCTTTTTTTGTCTCTCGCTGTTACTCAATTAATCGTCCTGCCAATATTCAAAACGTGCCTAATTTCCATATCAACATGGCCTGATTGGCATTTCTCTTATTCATTAATAACAAAAGATTGAACAAAAGAGAGGCTGCTCGACGTCGAAACAAAAGAAAACAACAAATGAGATAAAACAAATGAATAAACAGCATCTAACAAAGAGCAGCACACAGCACCCTCACACACTGGATGCAGACTTTATCCTCCACAACATTTAAACTAGAAACAAGACAGCAGGGCACTGTTTGAGGTTTAAGAAACACAAATCAGATGGCATGAAGTTCTTTTAAAAAATAAATCCTAAATCTTTCTGGGGCCTGAAGCTGTTTTTTTCAGTTATCGAGGTAACTTCAGGGTTCAGAGGGACCGAAACGTTATGATTTGTTCTAATAAACTTGTGATGCAGAAGAAGAGTAGTGTGCAGGATTTTCTTCTCTTTAGATCACCATGGTAACTAATTGCTGGACCCCTGCTTCGGAGCAGGTTATGTTCTGGATAAGAGATCAAGCTGTGATCTTTATGTTTGATTTTTCATATAAAATATATGATTGTGAAAGATTGCAGCGACTAAACAAAGCACTAACACCATCTGCTGTACACCATGTATACGTTGGAGCTGCAGCTGAAACATTCAAAACTTCTTGTTGCAGTCGTAGAAAGAAATATCATCCATATGGCGTCCCACAAGGCTTCATTCTGGATCCCTTATTTATTTATTTTTTTTACTCTACAATAAGGGATTATGATTCGCAACAGAGTTATATATTCAGACAGACAGGGAAACAGACAGACAGGTAAACAGACAGTTTGGTGGAGTACCAGAGTGTCCTTGCTGGTGTAATGAACCATCCAACCCTCCTTCATCACGTTGCTGCTCTTCCTCTTTGTGTGTTTAACAGACTGAACGACTCGCATCAGAGGGATGTTATTACTGGTGGACGGGCTGCAGGGGGGCAGGACACACGTTAGCCTCACATCTCTGTATCTGTCTTAGTGTGTGTGTGTGTTTGTGTGTGTTTGTTCGTGTACCTGATGGCTCGGTTGGACTCGTCCAGGTCGGGGTCATGCATGTCGCAGAGGTCGCTAGGCCCTGCATCCAGCATGAGACCCCCCTCTGATGTCAGAGCTTCGTCCATGTCGTCCAGCAGGCCACCTCTGTCCATGTCATTGTCGTCAAGGCAACCCTCCACCATGATGACGTCTGACTCCGCCCCTGGGCTCAGGAGCTCTGAACACAACAAAGACACAGACGCAGAAATTAAGTTAAATTTAGGTCACAGTTTATATTTTTAATTATATCTGTTTGTGTGTGTATGTGTGTTGAAACTTGCCTCCATTTTTGGAAACTTCTCCCAGACAGTTGTTTGGCACTTTTGGAGAACATCGTTTGTGACAGTTAAATTTACAATCTGAGGAAGAAACAGGAACAGGTTTCAATTGGGGTCAGACGAATCAATCTGATGACGGTGGTCATTGCAGCGTGTGTTGACGGGATTACCTTTTTGAACAGAGGGGGAATACCTCAGTTTAAAAAACACCCACCTACGTTAGCAACCCAATCCAGAAGATCAAACCATAAATCCCAAATAAACCAGCAGCTATTCCTGCACAACCTTGAAGGAAACGAACATCCTCAGGACCAGCCTGACTCTGAGAGAGATCAAATCTTTCACTGCAGCGTTAGAGAATCTTTAAGTTGTACTGAATACCTACTAACTTAATGATGATGGTCTCGATTTTATTGATGATGATGATGGTTTTTGTTTGATAACGATGACTTATAAGATGGTTTCTATACTGATTAGAGCTCTCAAGAACTGCCGTCAATGTTGTGCTTCGCCTCTGTGTAATGCCTGTCAGCACCTATGTGTCCAATCAGACTCAAAGCTGATCATTTGCTCTTACTGACAATGTTCCTTTTTTTCTAGATCCTTGCTTGTGTTTTACTTACTCTCTGATGTACGTCGCTTTGGATAAAAACGTCTGCTAAGTGAATTGTAGAATGTGTAAAAGTCTAAAAAGGAAGGGTCGTACCTTTGCACTGCAGGCCCTGTCTGAAGAGGCCTTTGAGCAGCTTCTTGCAGTGCTGGCAGACGGTGGGTCGGGTGTACGAGTGGATCAGGAACGTGTGCGGGACTTTGACCTTGGACAGTAGGATCTTGTCGAGTTTGATGGGACGACCGACGTACGACTGAGAGCTGGAGCGCCGCTCTCTCCCCGGGAAGTACTCCAACTGGTTTTTCTGCTGGAGGGGGCGACAGAGATCAGAACACCTCTTCTAAACTTTCTGTACAAACAAGACACAGTCACCTGATGTAATGACAGCGGTAGCATTCATTATCGGCCATTTTTAAAAGTGTGGAGGTCAAATGTTTGAGTCCTTGTCTGTTTTTAAGAAGTGCTCAAGAATTCAAATCCTTTAAACCATCGACTGACTTCAAATCAAAAGCTCAAATATCTGATACACACAAACAAAACAACTTTTATTTTCTCTTCCCTCCACACAAGTTGAACGACTCTGAATCAAAGTGTTGATCGATTCTTTGTTTTTAAAGTGATAACAGTCGAAAATGTTTATTAGAAATGCATGCAACATTCAGTCAAACTAAAGTCTTCAGAGAGGTTCATGATGGACTCCATCGTTGGGACTTACCTCCATACTTGGACTGACCGGAGACTGAACGATGAGAGAGAGGAGAAAGAAAGTTAAAGGTTTAAAAAGGTAAACTCAGAGGCTTTTGTGCATTTTCAATTTGTGCAACATTAAAGGAAAACCTTCAAAACTTCATCTACACATCTACATCTAGATACAGTATCTACATGTATAGATCTACATATCATCATTCATATATCTGTAGGCAGTTACGTAATCAGGTTTTAGCTCTTCAAATAAAATATTCAAAGACTTGTTGTAGAAGTATGTAATGAACCTGAACCCGAGTCTACTGACCAGTAAAGCATCGTCAGTGTAGTGTGGCGGCGAGGGCTCAGCAGAGAGGGGGCGACACATGTTTACGAGCCCCCCCGTCAGGGACACGTTGGACGAGCGACGCCTCCTCACCCCGCTGCAGTTATTTGGGATCTTAAAGGCACAGCGCTTGTGATAATTCAGACCACAGCCTGGACACAACGACAAGACAGATTCATGAACCAAAATGTTAGGGATGAAAAACAGGATGGACTATGATTCTGTCTTTGTCCACACCTTCACACTTGAGTCCCTGTCGCACGAGTCCCCACAGCATCTCGCCACAGTGGTCGCAGAAGGCCGGCGCTCGGTACGAGTGAACAAACAGACAGTGTGGACGGATCTGAAAGTCCTCCACGGTGGCTGAAGCTGCAGGAAATATAAAAGAGAGTTAGAAACGAGCAGATCATCCAGAGATCTTTTATTCCATCAGACGACATTTGTTCTGCAGAAACAAAAACGTGTTTAGAAGTCTTAAAATTCTCTCGTGCGACATCAACAACGTCATTATCGTGCACTATAGACGCCTCCCATACATTTATGTACATTTATGTACATTTATGTATGGGAGACTTTATGTTGAATTCATCTCATAGTATATCTTCTGGGTCGCTTTATTTTTGTATTTGAACCCCAACATTATGTGTGGAGTTTATTCAGAGCAACACTTTGTCTCATTGATGGTTTTTAAAAAGTTTAGGACAACAATAGAGCTCTATGACGAATCAAAGGAAGATTTATGGCTCAGAAAGCTCAAATCTGTCCTCCTCACTCGTCCTGTTTCAGCATCCAGAGCTGCTCGGAGGAAGAGGAGGGAGGCAGATCAACACAAGTGCAGACAAAGACTAATGAATGGGTTGTTAGCGGGTATTTTGTAAATGTTTGGGAGTGATGAGAGGCTCTCGGCGGGTGCAGATGGACCGAGTGTTCGTTCGGTTGGCCAGCAGGCTTTTGGCAAGGCATGATGGGTAGTTTTGGGATATCATGTTTTAGCTTCTTTCACTCTCTCTCTTTCTCTCTTTCTCTGCGTGTAAAATGTCTCCCGCCTTTTCGCTTTCCTTGCCGTGGTCCTCCAGCAGAATACGTCCCTGATTAGACATTCTGCTGCAGGAAATTACCTCCATTTATTCAAATTATTGTTTATGCCTTTGTTTGGAGGGCCAGCATACGTTTGGAAGTGTGAACGAGCCCCCAAACTGTTATTATATGCTTCAGTGTGTGTGTGTGTGTGTGTGTGTGTGTGTGTGTGTGTGTGTGTGTGTGTGTGTGTGTGTGTGTGTGTGTGTGTGTTTGAGAGTCTACTAGGTAGTCCTTGTGTGAAGATAAATGCTGTGTTGATGTGGTGGAATTAGGAGCGTGGAGGAGCGCTTGCCGCGGGCTTGTTAGCAAGCATGTAGCCGGAAAACAAACAGTGCAGGAGGAAAAACTGTAAACCAGCAGGACGGGACGTACCGACTATGAATGACACGCTTGATCCAATTGTAAGTACAGTAAAGTAAACTTTATTATGAGATGAAAACACTCAGTTTGTTTTGATCTCTGTCAGGAGTAGCACTAGAGGGGCGTCATGGCCTAGTGGGGAGGTCAAGCACTCAATGTACAGAGGCTACAGTCCTCGAACCGGGCAGCCCAGCATCAAAGCTGACCTGTGGCTGACCCTAAGTGGCTAACACCTTTTATTCCCATCAGTCTATGCAATGAGCCGGCCTTTATTTAGAACAGGCGTCGATACGAGATGAGCCTTTCACTATTTTCCAACAAAGCGTGTGCTCAGCAAAGACGGGAAAGACTCTGCAACTGTTAAATTTTCATATATTAAATAGTATAACAGTATTAAACAGTATATTAAAATATACAAGCTTCTGATTTCTGCCTCTCAGGTTGATCCTGCTGTTTCAGTTTTCACCTGTTAGCTCACATCCCTGGCTACTGCTGAGTCATTGGCAAAAGTTAATTATTGTAGCTCTGTTTATGTTGTGATTATATGAGAATATTTAACATTAGTTTAATTCATCAGGCTGCCCCATGTGATGACAGTTTAAAATAATCTTCAATAGAAAGTGGCAGGAACACTTGTCTTAAAACATAAATTCATAAAGCTGATCATATTATTGGATTCATCATGTCTTATTATATACATTTTCCTCTAAAATAGTTATCCTGTCTTTAAAGCAAACTTTAGAACCTGAAGTTTAACAGAACCTCAGGACAGATCTTATTTCAGGTTTGAGGCATAAACATCACAGTAAAATTCATTATACTTTACATTTAACTCCATGATTGTTTTTCTTTATTACAGAAGATGCCCTCAGATTCAGATCCATCAGCAACCCCTGACAACATGGAGGACTCGTCCCCTGAGCGTTTCCTGTCCTCTCTCGATGGTCTTCTTCTCTTCAGTTATTAACTCTTGAAAACAGTAGCACAAAATGCCAGACTGTTTGACAAGTGTGTGATTGAATAAATGGAATCTCTTGCATATATTGCTACGCTTATTGGCTTTAAATGTTTAATATTAAATAAGTTTGTAGGCCATTTATCTCAGACGAGCCCGGCTGTAACAAGCTGAGCTCATCTGCTAGCTTTGCTGTTGTCTTAGCTGTTGTTGGTCAAGAAGAAATGAATGTCAGTTAAAGGCCTTTTCAAATGTGAGCTATAAACTTAACTGCTAAATTATTTTACTGTGACCAACACATTGTAGTGCTCGAGTTAATCAGAAACAGTCATGTCAGATTTAAAAAAAGTTTATTGAAACATTTTCTGAAAAGAAATCTTCAATAAACAACCCCTGGCTTCATTAACCATGTGGAAAATAAGTAAGGGAGAACATCAGGTCGAATTGCTGGGACATAGGAGAAAGTATAAAAAATGATTTAACAAAGAAATCCCAACAAAAATCAAATAAAGTATAGAGATCCTAGGTGATTGTTTGACTTTTAAAATATGGTTAAAAAGCAAATCCAACACAACCCTCCAACATTTGGCCTTTCAAACACAGGGCAACATCATGTAAAGAAAAATAGCACCATTGAATATTGACCAGGATCTCTGTGTTTTATCTGAGGATGACTATGGTAGCCTTCTCACTGTTCACTGTCACAAAGCACCAGAATTTGTCCATCTTCTTCAGTTGTGCAGACGTCGATCAGCTCCTCTGGGTGATGGCAGAGAGGACTCTTCATCTGGGAGAGCTGCTGGTGTAAGGTCATTTCTACCACAGTGGATGAGCCGGGCATCTGGCACAGCTCTTAGTCCAAGCACAGGTGAAAAAAGGAGGAGGTTCCTTCAAACTAAGCGACCCCAGCCTGACCTCTGTACACGGGTGACCAGACGAAGTTTGAAATTAGAAGTCATTTTTAGGTTCTGTTGATTGTAAAATGGAAAAGAAAACATCACCTTTCTATTTAACATTTAGCTGGTGTATGACTCTGTGATTTTTATTTTAGAAGACTGTATTGTTAATAATAGCTTGAAGATACAAAAAAACAATTGATTTATTGTTCAATGAAAACAATTATTATAAGCAGACATAAATCACATTGCAAACTACCAGTTTCTAACAAAATACAACATATCTTACCTACATACCACCTGTAGCCTACGGTCTGTGGTGCTAACCTAGCTTAAATATAGAATGATTTCGTTAAAAACAGAGGACCCAGCAGCCCACGTATTTTCAATAATGATCCAAAAAGCGTGATTTTTTAAAACACTGTATTTAAATATTAGACTTTCATTACGGCAGTTGGTTATACTTACACATTTCTTCATGAGACTGGTCGACCGGCAGAGCGCTTTCGGCGTATCTGGGCTGCATAAGTCATCAGGGCAGTACGCTAAATGGGCGGGTCGTGTTACCAGGTCTCCTCCCGCCAGACCCTACTGTGCAGACTCTGGCTCCAAATGACATCAAAATCGCAAGACGGAAGCGCCCATTAGGGCCGTATTTTGGCTTCAAGAACTTTGAGTGGGAATAGCTATACTGAGTGCCAGTATGCAGATTACACTTCCCTCAACAGCAAGAGAATAATAAACAACCTGATCTTCCACACCAAGCACACAGAGCTGTGGAGAAATGCTGTCTGTAACAGCTACCAGCACACCTTCAAAGGGAATCGGCCGTGGTGGCAGAGTGACTATAGACATCCTTCATCCTGTCCGAGATACCACCCAGGCAGTCACTAAGGTAGCAGAGAGAGCCTCAAAGCTGTTTCCAGAATCACGGGTTGTGATCTCCACCCTCCTGCCCCGTACAGACACTCCACCTCATGTTATACATGACATTAACATGGAGATCACCCGGAACTGCTCCACCCTCCCCAATGTCCACTTGGCTCACTACACCACCATCGGCACCTGAAACCTGTATGACGGGCTACACCTCAACAGAGATGGAGTCAGAGTGTTTGCAAAAACACTCAAGTAAGTAGCCCTCGGAAGAAGCCCCAACCCCCCCACCACAGTAGACCACTATAGGACCCTCAGACTCCCGAGAAGCACACCACCACAGCCAAGCCCCCGTCTTCCTGCTCCACATCACCGTCCCCACCCACACCCTCCTGCACCCCCCACTCAGAGAGCCCCTCTGGTCAGCAGAGGCCCCCTCCCTCAAGATGACCTATGCTACTGCTCTGGCCAGACCAGCTCCTCAACCTACACCCCCGCACATCTCAGAGCTGGAAGAGATCAAGCAGATGCTACAGTGTCTGTGCAGCGGACTTCTAATAAGATAGTCACCCATCTTTTTATTTGATCAGGATCCCCATTAACTATTACAGTAGGCAACAGCTACTCTTCCTGGGGTCCACAATTTATAATAATATATTAGTAACATTGTTTTGGTTTAATCTTGTTTTTTATCACTTATGTATATATTTATAATCAAACTAAAATGACTATTTTAAATATTCAGAGACAAATAAATCCTCACTTGATAAGTATTAATTTAAATATACATACATTTATACATGTTCATTTATTATGTTTTATATTATATTATATTTTACATCATATATTTCAGTAGTAGTAGTTTATCCAGGTAACCTGGGTTCGGATTATCTCTGTGTTTGTTTTTGTTTCATTTCATCCTTGGTTCATAATCTCAATGAGTTCATTTAAAATAAGCTGTTGGAATATCCAAGATCTTTACTCCTCACTCTTTGGCTTGAAGAGTAAAACCTCTGATTTTGTAAATAGTGTAAATAGTAATGACATAATTATCCTATTAGAAACATGGTGTAGAGCTGATGTACCCACCTACTGCCCCCCAAATTACAGAGAGGTTATCGCTCCTTCCCAAAAACGATCGACTGTTAGCCAAGGCAGAGACTCAGGAGGACTCATTATAAGTCACAGTTACACAATTCAAT